TGAAATATACCAATAATGAGGCTTACTTTGATGTGGTGGAAGAAATCGATGCCATCCTGGATAAGTCTGGTAAGAATATTTTGGTGCTAATTTTCAGTTTGATTTCACAGTTAGATTGTTCACTTCAATGCATAATACTGGAGGTATGTACTTCCTTTCAAGGTTAATGTTGGTGTACTCTTCTGTTTCAGGAACTACAGTTTTTGCAGAAATCCAGGGAGTTATTGATGCTTGTGTCAAGCTTTCTGGAATGCCAGACCTTACCCTCTCATTTATGGTGTGTTATATTAAAAAAGTTGTGATGAAACCAAATTAGCGACAGGTCTTTTCTTTCATATTATGATGTATTATTGGGAAAATGTAGGGTGGAGAATTGGATCTGTCCATTGGTTGTTAATTAGATTTTGAGATGTGGCCATTGCACTCAAAAATGAAAGCAGATGAATGCAAGCTTGTAGGAGCTGTGTTTTCACCAAAAGGTCCAGTTATGACATTTTCTTTAAACATTATGAGGTCAGTATATATAAATGAAACACACACAGTCAGATAAATTGTTCACAATAACTATAACATGCATTTAAAAAATGCACCTGAGGACTGAGTATCTTGAGGACAGAAAGATGAAGCATTATACACATTATACTCTTATCTAAAACTATTGAAATCAACATTCCTCTAATTTTACAATTATTATGCATGCAGCTTTTATGATCTCATTTTAATCAAGGGACTATATGGCACGTTTACTTTTCAGCATATTTTTGCAAGGAAAACACTTTTTTTTTAACAAAACTGTATGTTCCCCATCCACAGAACCCCAGGCTCCTGGACGACGTGAGCTTTCATCCGTGCGTCCGTTATAAGAGATGGGAAAGTGAGAGAGTTATCTCTTTCATTCCCCCCGATGGAAACTTTCAGCTCATGTCGTATCACATCAGTGCGCAAAAGTAAGCGTTGATCTGAAGTAAATGGTTTAGCAATAAACTTAAAACATGTATTAAAGATGTTTAGATATTGGCCATTAAAAGTAAAAAATTTTTTACTTGTTTTTGCAGCCTCGTAGCAATCCCGATATATGTGAAGCAGAACATCAGTTTCTTTGAGACTGGATCTTCAGGAAGACTGGACATCACTGTGGGTCCCAAGCAGACCATGGGAAAGACTGTGGAGTGTTTGGTAGTGACCGTACACATGCCCAAAGTGGTTCTCAGTGCCAACCTCAGTGCGACTCAGGGAACCTACAACTATGACCCCGTCACAAAGGTCAGATGCAACTCTTTGTTTTCCATTTTCATTGACTTATTGTAGTTGTGTTATTCTAGTAATGTCACAGCTTTTGATCATTTGAAACATTATTTTTCCCTTCGATGTTGGCTAATAGTTCTGACTGTTGTCTTGTAGATTTTGTTGTGGGATATAGGGAAACTTAACCCCCAGAAGCTTCCCAATCTGAAAGGAAGTCTAAGTCTGCAGTCTGGAGCTCCTAAACCAGAGGAGAACCCAAGTCTGAACATTGACCTGAAAATCCAGCAGTTAGCCATCTCAGGTAGGCTAGGGTCCTTTATCAGCTTTGGTCGTTATTCATCGCCAGCAGGACCTTGTGATAAACCGTTGTTATTAACACACTTTTAAAAAGCATAATAAGCTGCTATAACCCTACTTAATTTATTATTTGTTCACTTTTTTTATACATTTATTTTCATCTCCTTCCACATGTTTGTATGTAATCGCTGAAATACACTACCATCAAATGCTTAGGGTTAATAAATTTTTTTTAAAATACTTTTTACTTTTATTCAGCAAGGATGCATTAAATTGATCAAAAATGACAGTAAAGATATTCAGAATGACACAAAAGATTTATATATATATTTTTAAGAAAAAAAGGCTTTTGAACTTTATTAAGCGTTAAAGCTTCACAAGTTTATGTAAAATGATCATATGATCCAATGAGCATTGAGAATGCAATGAGAATGACACTGAAATAAATCTGATCTTTTGTAGAGAGGGAGTTCACATGGTCGATGTCACAAGCTTGCTTATTTGAATAATGACTAAAAACAAAAATCCCATTTTCAGACACCGTATGTTATGTAAAGCACCTTAAAATGCTGTTTTGTGTTCAAATGTGTTATATAAATACAGTTATGCTTACTTCACTCTCTCGTCTGCTTCACAGGATTGAAAGTCAATCGTCTAGACATGTACGGAGAAAAATATAAACCATTCAAGGGTGTGAAATATGTGACCAAAGCTGGGAAGTTCCAGGTCAGAACATGAGGCCAGCTGCAGAGTATCACAATGATATGCCAAAAGAGGTATATTAGAGGTGCCATTTTCTAAGTGACAAATCATACAGGATTGCAACCTTGTGCACAGTCTCCCTTTATTTTTTAAAACATCGCAGTTACATTTGTTATTGTAATTTTGATCTTTCTTGTTTTGTGGGAAGTAACTGGCAATTTGCAAGAAGTTAAAGTCTTTCCATTGGAGAGTATTGGGAGAGCATTTTCTTTGGGAATCTTTCACTTCATATCAACAACATTCCATATTATAATGTATAATGTATTAACACTGTATTATGTTAGACTTAAGTTATGGTAAATCTCTGCCAGAAACACATTACATTAATCACAATACTGCTCTACAGTCTTTGATATTGGCACAACACAATACCTGAGTTTCTGCACATATTCACAGGCCTTATTTTTTCATTTAAATTTATTTGCCAGTTCAGTGGCCTTTGAATTAAAATATATATATATATATATTGAGGAGGCCTCACACACTCAAATGGCCTTTCTTTAAAAGAACAGTCATGCTTACAGCAGGACATATTTACAATGATGCAATCTACCATACAAGCACATCAATGCTCAGAGGTGAATGAAAGCTGTATCTGCTTGAAAGACAATTTACGCTTAAAGTAGTTTGCCACATACAAGCACTATGGAGCCATTATGAGCACAAGTGATAATCTGTTCTGTTGCGCTCACCTGCAGTGATACGCTAGATGTGCAGGTCTGACACCTTAATGAAGTTTTGACGATTTGCACACAAGGACACACAATTGCATTATTTTGTAAAATGTCAAGGGAACTGCATTTTAAAATATGTATTTAAACCAAAAGCCTTCAGATTTATAAAGTTTGCAAACAAAATGAGGTCTTTGTGTGTTTCCACTTCTGAATCATAACTGTTTATTATAGCTTCACTTGAATATGTTTGAAAGTATTAGCAATGAATGTCTTGGAAGTTACAATCAAATGAGTCCTTTAATCTCTAATTATTGAAGTGCAGTACCTTTTACAAATTAGAAAGTAACTTGTCCCTTTATTGACATATTTTGCGAATGAAGTTTCCAAACAAAACACCTTAACAGAATTTTTTTTATTAATCTGAGGCACAAAATATGTTTTTTTTATGTGACTTTTCAAAAAAGGTCAACATTAGTGTCATATTTACATTCACAAAGCAGTAATTTCACCCTTTCAAAATGTCATCAGAACCCACAACATGCTATTACACATACAAATACAGCCCTGTAAACTTTCATAACGAGGCACTATATTGGGGGCTGAAAAGGTACTCTTTCAAATGTATATGTTGTAGATAAGAGTTTTTAAGTGAATGCAAGGCAGTGAAGCATCATGATAGTGTCCGTGTAGCTGTACAGATTCAGAGTGCATCTTCAGCTAATAATTAAAAGTTTTTCATACTATAATTGCACAATTTCCACACATTTGATTCTATACTGTAAATTTACTGTCCTTAAAACGGCAGTTCACGAAAAAATTCAAAATCTGTAATTTACTCATTAACCTATGTGACTGACTGGTTTTTGTCCATACATTGAAAGTCAGTAGGGTCCAAAACAACATGTTCTGGACCCCACTGACTTTCATTGCAGACAAAAACATTTTCCGTTTTAAAACAACACGAGGGGTGTTGACAGACTTTTCATTTTTGGGAAAACTACGCCTTTTAAGCATCTCCAAACACATAGGTATCACATATAAACAAGCCACCTGGGTCTTGTTACCCATTCTATTTAAATGGGTGAAAACATTAAGACAACTCCATCATCGATATACTACAATCGCAAACAGAATCACACTGAGAGAAACGTACAAAATTACAGCTGTAAACCGAGTTGAGAGAGAACAGTTCAACTGTTGTGAGGATTGTGCTTTTCAGTTAAGAAATTTAAATAATCATTCACTCTCTCACAAGCTTAACAGAAAGAAGAGTTAAGTGTGGATGAAGTATAAAGAATTTCAGTGTTAACTATCCAAGCTTTCCCATGCCTATATAGATTTACACCATAGATGTGTTCATTTGATAGCTAATGGATATTAAGTTTAAAAAAAACAAAATCTTTGGCATCAACCATGCCATGCAAAATACATCTCTGTAATGGCATGACCCATCAAAAAAGGCATTATCATATTTAATAAATAGCTAAGCAAAAGTCCATTATAAATATGAGCAAATAACAGTTAATTATAGTGAATTATAACTTTAAAAACAACCAGCCAAAGGGTTTGTGAATAGCAAAGTAAAACTTACAACATTGTATGTGTTGTATATTTGCGACTAAAAAGTGATCTGTGATGTTCTGATGAAATAAGAAATATAAATATATACATTTTCAATAAGAAAATTTAATTGTCAAAAACTAATTTAAAGTAAATTTCATCATGAACTCCCAACATTGTTCGAGAGAGGCATCATGCCATTTTTCTCCAGTACAAAATAGAAAACTTTTAATTGCAAAAAATATATATATATATACGTGGAATTTGGAAACCCAACATACCAAAAATATATATTTAAAAATGTGCTTCCTGTATACTCCTACACTGTACCTCAGTAGTGTGAGAAAAAGGTAACTACAGCAAACTTTCAGGACAAAAATAGCCTCCGTAAGGAGCAGTTTAGGTGTACCAAGTACCCATACCAGCAAGTAAATAAAAATAAGTAATACCAGTCTCCCCGAAACTAGAGCCAAACACTGCTGTCCAAAAGTATAAGAATCAGATAGGGTGCTTTTTTTTGCCACCCCTCATCAGATCTCAGACGCTTGAAAAGGCAAGGATGCGAATTGCTAATTGAAAACAACTAGTCCTCAGTTTACTGGTACCAGGGGGTCTTTCGGACCCAGCGAAGAGTGAACCCCGCATCTGTGCGGATCTTGATGGAGGCGGCTTCTGCTTCTCTAACCGTCTCCTTCACGGACTGCATGAGGTTCTGCGCGTTGTGCACAAGCATCTCGGTGGCCTTAAAACCAAACAATCATTTTAATTCCAATCCAATAAATCCTTCATTCAAGATGTTTGTGAATGTGCCTTGTCTCCTCACCTGCTCAGATTCTTCCTCACTGATGTTTGTACGTCCCAGCATAGTGGCCTTTACAGTGGACAGGATCTTCAGCTGAGTGCTAATAGTTGGGATACGCTCACAAACCTGGAATAAACATTGAAACATGACATTTACTTGACAAAATAAGCCAATTTGCAAATATTCTTCTACCAGCGCTCTACTACTACTGATATTTGCGCCACTGACCTGCAACAGGTTTGTGCGAATCCGTTTGTCGGTGCATTGCTTGGCTACCTCCTTAGCCAGCCGTGTGACCTCATCGGAGGCCTTGGCGATGTCCTTGGCGCACTGAATGAGGGCACGTTTATTCCCACTGCCTCCACGCACCAGACGAGACATCTCCGCCATGAGCAGGGCCATGCGCTTAGCTGCTCCAATGATGTCATTACCCTAAGAAGAAAAAAGCCCATGCAGACTTAGCATAAGGACTTTAAATAAGAGTTTGATTACAGATGTACTTTGATTGTTCATGTAGATCATTTTTGCCCATTTTTAATCTGCGATAGTTGATGAGCTCTAGCTATGTGTCTAACTTCTATCTTTAACACTCTAAAATGTCACAAAGACAAAGAAATAGTGTTTAGAATCAGGTCATATTCATCCAGTGCACATCAGTCATGCATTTTTAAAATGATTTGTATAGGTTTATCATGTCTCCAGAAGTCACATTTGTTTGGACTAAATGTGAGAAATACAATAATTAAAAAAATTTTCTGTGCAGATGGAAAAGCATTTGCATGCTTGTTACCATTTTGTAAATCTGCTTTTCCCATGTGGGTGCACAAGTTTCCCATCATGAAAGTTTTTTGGTTTGCACAATTTTCGGCCAAAAAAAAAAAGTTTACATCTCTCGCAATTCTGACTTTTTTCTTGGAATTCTGAGTATATATCAATTCAGTTTTTTTTAAAGAATTTTTAAAAAGGTAATTGCGACTCTTTATCTCACAATTCTGATATTCTTCCTTGCAATTGCAAGTTTATATCTCAAAATTCTGAGTTTATATCTCACAAATGCAAGAAAATAAAAGTTTGTAAGATAAAAATTATACCTTTTTTTATTTTTTTATCCGTGACGGAAGTAAGTTCCAGAGTTCTCTTGTCTGCATGAGAAGGGTAATGTTTTCTGGAAACGTAACTTTAGGGGCTCCATAGAATCTAATGTATTTTCCTCCAGCTTGTCAACAATATGGTGTACATTTAACGGATAAATCATAATTATTAAAAAATAAACAAATCAAAAATCTGAATATACATTTGATCGGCAAAGTTTCAGTGTGTTAAAATGTAACATCTTACAATGGCTTTGACATGGTTCATTTAAATGGTTAGAAAAAGTGCGCAACAAACAAACAGGCATGTGACATGACTTCTACACGTGTAATTCCGAAGTCATTGGGAAACTGTCATCCATGGCTTCACAGGATGGCAAAAGCAGAGTGTTTGGCAGCAGCGGTTGAGTGAATGGCTCCTCGTTCACACCGAGGTGTGACACTATCAGAAATGAGCAGGGAAGTGACTCGTGAAGCCAGTATCAGTTTGTCCAAGAAATGCACAACAAACTTGCCATTCCAGTCGCGGTCATTGGCAACCCCCAGCAGCAAAAAAACACACCGGACCCAAGTGTGAAGCAACAGCAGCAGCAGCAGCTATCTGGTTTCAGCATTCCCACAGTAATATCTGGATGCAGAAGGGATGCTCCGGCCCACCGGGGCCAGAAAGCAGACTACCTTACTGGACCACTTGCGAGCCTCCTGGTGCAAAGACTGCGCAGCGGCCAGAATGGGCTGGTTAACTGGCTGACTGGAAGACATTAAGAGCAGCTCTGGCTCAAAATCATCCTCGTTGTCTGTGAATTCCTCCTCATCGTCTATATCTACTTCTGCCTCAGCGGCCTCAAAACCCTCGTCTGTCACTTCAGGCTGGGGAGGCTGGGAAGGAGGAGGAGATGGAGGGGGGGGAAGGAAGGATCCAGCACGGAGAAAGAAGGACAGAGTTAGTACGAGAGGCACTGCATGGAGATTCCCAGGACATGATTGTGGGAACAGCTGGGTTTAGGATGACTGGGAGAGGCAGCATTCTGGGTCCTGCTGGGTAACGTCTGCCACAGGGTTTATAATGTCAACTGAAAATCATGTAACTGATCTATTCTCGCATAAAGTTGAGGATAGAAACTGGGAGGTTAATTTTGGACAGAGAGCAAACAAGCAAAGCCCCCAACAAGATAAGATGAAATTCATGATGGGTTCTCCAAAAAAAAGCAGCTTTGACAGATTTGTTACAATGAGTTGAATGATACTTAAACCTAAAAATACTCCTCATAAATTACTGCATATCCTGTAGCCAGAGTCCAGGAAGCTCTTTTGAGAACCTGATCATTAGGAGAAAAAGATTTCTGTCAGTAACAGGAAGAAATAGTTTTCTATAAATGTATCCAGAAAAAAAAAAAAAAAAGACCTGGATCCTGGATGTTTCCTGCCACGGCTTTAGCAGCCATAACCATGGGTGAGATTGTTCTACCAAGTTCATCTGTAGCAGCTTTGACCAGTTCTCTGAATTTAGGGTCCTCTGAGTTCTCCACTTCCCGTTTGGCCACCAGAAGGACCCTGTTAGCCCGCCGGGCAATGCTGGTGGCCCCTGCAACCAACATCTGGGGCTGAACGTTAGCCATTGCCACCCGGCATTTATCAATGTCTTTCTTAATGGCATCCTCTGAAGCATCCAAGAGGGATTTAGTGTCAATGGCTTCATCCACAAGACCTGGAATAAAGATTTTGAATATTTCAATGATTTTCAAAAGATTTCATGTGGTATTTCATATGATACAACCCTCTACATTGCGAGTAAATCACTCGCATATGCGACTAAATCTTCACTCTGGGCGACTAAATTATGTCTAATATTAGCCAATTGCTAATAAATTTCATTCTGGCGAGTAAACAAAAAAATTTACTAGCCAATGGCGATTCAATTGCCAAGGTGTCCGTAGAGGGCTGTGATATGAGCTTTTGCTTACTGGTCATTTTTTCAATGTTGTCAATCCATTGGTTCTTCATGGTCTCAAAGTGCTCGTATGCAGCCTGGTTGCCAGGGTTCTTCAGCAAAATGCGTACAGCAGAAGTGACCTGCTCATGAGAACAACAAAAGACAGATACACACGTCAAACAAACACATTCGTTCACAACCAGCTTAATAGTACTCATTCTGAAAGCCTTTATTGGTAGAATTATTAATAAACAGCAAAAATGCTGTGCACGGATATATCTTTGATATTGGAAAAATGTTGATTTTTTTTTTTTTACAAAGGCTGTCAAACTTACAGTAATGTGAAAAGTCCCACTTTTTAACAAAGAAAACAGTTTTGTATGTTTTAAATTACAATAATAGTGAGTGGTGAAAAAAATACTGACTTTATTGTATTGTGACAATACAAAAGCTAGTTATTTTAGAAACCCTCATAATTTAACACTCAATACTTTTCTCACACAGTCTTATTTTTAAGAATGAGGTCTCACTCAAGATCATCATCATATTTGGTATTATCTGGCATCAAAAAGCTTGAATGCCCCTGGAGACTTTGCTAATGTCCATACTGTGGCTAATGTTCAACTATCAGGTCAAGCATGCCATTATGTGCTCTTAAAGTAGCTCTGGCATAAGCACAGAGTTGGGCGTCCACACACACACACACACACACACATATACGTAACGTATGTATATACATACATATATGAGCTGCATACCTGAGGTGTTAGATCTCTGGATGATTTCACAGCCGCCTGGATGCCCTCAACTGTGCTCTTATTGGCTGTTCCCACAGCAGCAGCCTTCTCCGCTGTAGCACCCAGTCTACTGGCATGATTCTCAAAGTTAGACGCCCTTTCTTCAAAGACCTAGAGGGGAAAAAATATAAAAACTCAATTTTATAATTCATGTTATTAATTATAATGATTTTTTAAAATAATTAATCATTTAGTTTTATTTATATACTATTATCGTTTTTGGCCCCACTTTATATTAAGTGGCCTTAACGATGTGCTTTCATTTAAATTAATCATTTGGTACAATGCACTTATTTTGTACATGTTTTTACATTGTTCTTTTAAAAATACATGCAATTGGATCTATAATTACACTGTTGACCCATCCCTTACACCTTAACCCACCCTTAAACCTACCCATACCAACAAACCTGTCCCTAACCTTACCCGTATCCCACCTTAATAGCAGCAAAAGTGTTTTGCAATACAATATGAACACAATAAGTACACTGTACATAATTTTTTGATGTAAGTACATAGTAGTTAAGGCCACTTAATATAAAGTGGGTCCATAGTTTTTGTTAATATTTTGAATCAAACTTTCATTTTTATATTTAGTTTTCACTTTAATTTTAAAGTTTTAGTAATTTTGTTGTATTTTTGTTATTTGAATAAGTTTTTATATGTCTGTGTAGTTTTTATAAATGATTATTGTTAGTTTATTTAGTTTTAGTTATTTTAGCACTTCAAGTTAAACTAACCAAAAATGAGAAATGTTGCCTTGGCAACTAAATTTTATTATATTATATTTTATTTTAGTTAACGCAAATTTTTCTTTAAGTAATAATTTTTTTACGGTTTTAGTTTTAGGTAACTATAATAACTGTACAGTAACTATAATAATTAGAATAAATAATGACTGAGTATGTTTGAATGCATTTTAGACCTAGTTATAAAATAATGATTTTGTGAATTCCTTCTAAATAAAAAATAACCCTAAGAATAAAAGTTTTTATTCGCTTCTAAAAATGGCGAAAGTCTTTTTACAATTAGGTTTAGGGCTTGGAATGCTTTGTGTGAATTAGCATATTTGATATGTCACTGAAAAGCATGCTGCGCGCTCTGTATATTCAGCTGACCTCCTCTCTGTTGGGGGCCTCAAGAGGCGCAGTTGCTGCCACAGCCAGGAGTTTAATTGGTGTGGTTGTATCACTGAAAACATCAGACACCTCCTGGGTCATTGCTTCCTGCATTTTTGCCTTGAGATCCTTAAAGGGAAAATATGATATGATGAGGTCATTTAAATTTACAGTCAAAAACAAAAAAACAAAATTTTTGATGAAAACAGAATAAGAAAAAAATATTGTGTAATGCAAATATTTTCCAGCAGAGGGTGGCATTTGCTTATATGTGACCCTGGACCACAAAACCAGTCTTAAATTGCTTGGGTATATTTTTAGCAATAGCCAAAAAAACATTGTATGGGTCAAAATTATCGATTTTTCTTTTATGCCAAAAATCATTAGGATATTACGTAAAGATCATGTTCCATGAAGATATTTTGTAAATGTTCTACCGTAAATATATCAAAACGTAATTTTTGATTAGTAATATGCATTGCTAAGAACTTAATTTGGACAACTTTAAAGGCGATTTTCTCAGTATTTAGATTTTTTGGCACCCTCAGATTCCAGATTTTCAAATAGTTGTATCTCGGCCAAATATTGTCCTATCCTAACAAACCATACATCAACGGAAAGCTTATTTATGCAGATGATGCTATATGATGTATAAATCTCAATTTAAAAAAATTGACCCTTATGACTGGTTTTGTGGTCCAGGGTCATATATATTACATTAAGCTAAAAGCCCTGGTGCTTTGTGTACAGCACTACTCTAAAGCTAGCAGATATGACCTCTGCACTTCCTATTTGAGAAAATCTAAGCATCTGATTATGCTTCACCCATACCTGCTGTGTGAGAAAGATACTGGTATCTTTTAATAGAAAAGGGGGACACGATGCCTTACTTTAATTGCATCCAGAAGATGAGCAGCCACAGTGCGCGCCTGAGGACTCTCTCCCTCTCCCCGTGCCGCAAGATCTGCCAACTGCATCATCAGCTGCTCCACTCGCTCACACTTTGCTAGCAGTTCCTGTCTGTACGGCCCTGGTAGAGAGTTTGCCAGCCGACGGCCTTCTGCTATCAGCCCCCGTATGGCAGCCTGGCCTATAGACAGAGACATGACAGGCTCCCATTGAAATGTGTCATTTCTCCTGAAACAAACAGGTTTCCCAACACTCCTGACTATATTATACTAGTGTTTGGAAAAAACAGACAGTCTCTTCAGGGAAATTAACCAACAAATTGCTTAAAGCTGATAAACATTACACATTTTATCTTTAAGCCACAATCATAATCTAAACATTTTATATCTCTGACAAACAAAAGATTGGTAGTCATTCATTCATAGTCCATATGTGACCACCCAACCAGATTCCCTTGTGTTTATGCCATGTGCATTTGTTTTCAATTGTGCTTCATTCTCATTGGATCATTGGTTTCATTATGGTCAGGTGTTTTTTGGTCAGGTGCACATCAAGTTAAGTTATGTTTATTTTAAAGTGATTGTTTTGTTTGTACACTTTTTGAATCATGAAATAAACTGCATTTGGGCTCAGAAAATCGACTTAGCTTCAGTGGCAAAAGCTGCTTTATGACCAATTTGAAATTTCTTATGCGACTGCCATTAGGGTGCAAAATGCGACAATCATACACAATTTTTCACTGACTGGCTAATAATTCAGCAAACTATTTACTTCACTTGAAAGTACTAACATCCCACTTAAATAGTATGCAATATTAGAATCCATGTCATTATTAGATGAAGAATGCAGGCGTGGGGCGTAGCGTAAGCTCTGAGAAGTGACGAACGCAGAAGTGCAGAGAAGAGAGCAAAACAAAACACCGGTCATGAATTACAAAGTACAAGTACAAAAAGAGGATTTGTAAAGAAAAATACCGGAGGATTTCAATATAACCCAAGAGGAGACTGGTTTTCCTTTGCTGTAAACAAAACTTGGTTCTCGCGAGACTAGCATATTCTCATATGCTACACTACGCCTACGTGATCCGCTGGAACGCCTCTCTCCCGTGACCGTGTGTACGACAGTTAGCGGAAGCTAGAGATTACAGTTTATAAAGTTTTAAATATGCATATTTTTCTTACACAAACACATCGATTCACTTCAGAAGGAAGTGTGGAGTACTTTTTATGATGGATGGATGCACTTTATTTTGCTTCAAAATCTCAACCACCATTCACTGCCATTATAAAGCTTGGAAGAGCCTGGACATTTTTTAATATAACTCCAATTGTATTCGTCTGAAAGAAGGATGTCATATACACCTAGGATTGCTTGAAGGTAAGTAAATCATGGGGTGATTTTCATTTTTGGGTGAATTATCCCTTTAAAGTTAATTAACAATGAATGGTAATTAAGTTAGCAAGATGACAAGGTCTGTGGTATCAAGATGCAATTTTATGATGTGATAGTATGTCCCAATACTGGTCTTGCCATACACTCGAAATTGTGGATTTTCCCCAAACTTTTAGTGCATAGTGTAAGCACGTGAACTGGGACAAGCCCCGGTACTAAACTGTGCAGCTCTGGTCTAGAGTTACTCCAAGACTAAGTTAACCTGAATGTAACATGACCTGCTGTGAATAGGACACGAAGCAGCTATTTATGGTTTGAAATATTTTAAGTATGAACATAAATACAACAGGGACAGAGGAAATAGCCATCTGTCACATCATATAAAGGTCCAAAGTCAAGTGGGCAGTTCCATTCGAATGAATAAGTCATTCAATATGCCAGTGTTATCCTTTGGGGGAAAAGTAATAGCCTCAGATGACCAGATGAGTATTTTACTACACTAATAACAGACACAGATATAATAACAGTTATTGATTCAATTCTAAATGTAAATGTTTTGCCAAGCTGCTTTTTTTGTTTAAGGGGTAATGTTTTACCTCATTTTGCCACCCACCTACTCCATGATCGTCCACTCCAGGGTTGTTGATCCAGTGCAAGGCCTGCTCCATTTTGCCCTCTAGTGTAACAGCAGTCTTGGCAGGTCTCATGTTGGCCACAGCACGGTTAGTTTTTGCCTGTAAGTTCTGCAAAGCTGTGCCAATCTGTTTGGCCAACGCTCTAGCCTCAGGAGTATCTCCTTTACCCCTGTGGCACAAAAAAGGGGCAGAACATGAGATTTAACACAAAAAAATAAACACATTTATAACAAAATTACCATGAGGATAAGACAAGAAATAAATAAAAGAATCATTGAGACATTTCTGTGATGGCAAATCTACATTTCTTATTAAAACAAATATATATATTTTTTTTTTAATGTTGCAAACATGTTGTTTAATATTTTTGTAAAAACGGTGATACATTTTTTTAAGATTATTTGACGAATAGAAAGTTCTAAGAACAGCATTTATTTGAAACAGAAATCTTATAATAACATTATAATTGTCTTTCCTGTCACTTTCGATTGATTTTAATACATTCTTTCTAAAAAAAAAAAACATTTAAGATAATATTGTAATTATAATAAAAAATATTCTTATAATTTCATAATATTATGAAAGCTCTAAGAGTCACATCAGGCACATTATCCTGGTTACATAATCTGTCCTAACCATGAACATGATGCTGGTTTGTAAAGTTCATATTTTTCCTCATGTGCTGATCAAAGACACAACATTATCTAAACATGACAGACTGGCATGACTGATATCAAGCTTCAAACCATCTGTCCTTTAAAAGTGGAAAGAACACTTTGAATCTTCCTGTTAATTAAAGGACTCTAACCATATGTACTGTAGGTCTATAATTACATTTTACGAAGTTCAACCAGTCTCGCAGTGAGTCCTGCGACCTCACTGATGGAGCGCAGAATGTCGTCTCTCTCTTTAGGGTCTTCACACAGGTCAGCGATGCGCTTGGCCTCCGCCAGAAGATCATGGATGTTCTCTTCCCCCTCCGGACCACCGTTAGGATCAGCCAGCCAGCTCTGTACAGAAACAACCATTCACACAACAAGTTCCGTTACAAATGATATTACTGTCACAATCCTTTCATACTTAAATGTGAATATTAATGTGTTCATTTATTTAATATTTTATTTGCCATTTTAAAAGTAAAATAGTGTTTTTTTTATTTTATTTTATCAGTAAATAGTGTGTTTTTAATTTATTTTGCATCGCTAGAACTATGCTTACTAGTTAGTTAGCAGTATCTTCAAAAGTAAGCTCTTCTGTTCCCTTATTATCAGAACAAACATACTAGACTGACACTTGTCAACATTTCCTGTTTTGAATTTGAAGGGATATTTATAGTCATATTGTCATTCAGCATAAGGTTATATAATGTTATATAATCATATAGTTTGCTGTCATCTGAACTCATCGGTGGTTTTCTGTCACAGCACCGACAGCACAAAGTACAAGGATTCTTTCTGTTTTTCTATTATACACCCTTTAAATACTTATGAGTCACAGCACATCTCCACTAAATAACATCAGACCAGACAGATTTATGTAACATCTCTTTAAATGAGGACATGTCTGTAATTAAGAGGAACCATTTTAAGTACCCACACGTCCTCTGGGATGCAAATACAATCTCTTCAAAGCTGTAAATATAGTAAAATGAACAATATTATAAAATCTTAACAATAGACTGAAATAAAAATAGAACTTTTAGGGAAAACGCTTCACATATCTTTTGTTGTTGACATCAATGGCCATTCATTGACTCAAACCTCAGATTTTGGTGGAAATTCATCTGTGACTTGATTGAAACTATCCAAGCTGCAAATTTTCCAATTCAGCTTATGTAATTTTGAATAATTTTGAATATTTTGGGTCCTGTACCTGTATTAATTATAACAAACATAATATCAATAATAATGATATTACTTATATATTAATAATAATACATTCCATTGTTGTTAAAGAGACAGTCGTTTATATTGGTATGATTGGGTATAACTTTGGTACTTTGTTGCCTTGTCAACTGAGTCTCCAAGCAAAACCAACTGAGCACCACTCAAGAAAGACTGAACACACCAATCCACTAAGGAAACATGCTTCAAGACTGACCTGGGCCGTGTCGATCCTCTTGGCGATGGCTTGTTTGGCATTGGTCAGGGCTTCCAGCTTTCGAGCAGCATTCTCCACTTTCCCCACCAGAATATCCAAACCCTGGCCCACCTGCTGAGCTTTCTGCATACCCATAGGGGTGGCACCCTGACCTCTGAAGAAACAGTATAATATAATATAATATCTCTATCTAATAGTCTCTCCAATGAAGTCAGAGCCCAGCATCTGATCTTTCACTTTCACTCCAGCTTTCAACATCCCTGACACATGGACCCAAACTGTACCAGACCATTCCTTCCTTCTCCTGTACTCAGCAGTCAGGGATAAACAATCCCCGGAGAATTAGACCACTAACAAACAACGTCTAAACTGTGTTTATTGAAAAACCTGACACACTTTCTCGTGTTGTAAATTAGAAGCAGTTACAGCCCCTGAGAAACATCACACGGGGGTAATGCATTATATAAATGGTGATGAATATCATTATGAACGGCACACAGCTGCATTAATGCATAATTCAGCTCACGCGAGCGCCACAGGAACATGTGGTGGCATTTGGCTCTCAGTGTGAAGTGCTGAACTGAGGAATCTCGTAGTCGGTTGAATCAGCAGTATAATGGGCTTTGATTATAATTTTCTCCGGGTGCACCTGAAGGGGGCGTACCTGGCGCGCACATCTGACACCTGATCCGTCATCTGGCCCAAGGTCTTGGCTGTTCCCAGGATCTCTCGTCTTTCTTTCCCCGCACAAAGCTCACCCACTTTTCCTGCTTCATCCAGTATCTGATGCAGCGCATGCTCTCCCGGATCTCCTGTACAAGAACGTCCATACCAGGTGTCACAGACATAGTGCTAGGCCACTACACACATACTTTTAATCCATTTCAAATTATGCACATTACACAAATATTATGTACATAAAAATGATACAAATTACATATTAGTACTTAAAGTGTACATATTAGTACCTTTTGAAAGGGTACCACCGCAGTGACAGCTTTTGTACCTTTGTAAGTTTGGAGTCTATAAGTTTATTTTCTTAATAAGAAATTAATACTTTTATTCAGTAAGAATGCATTAAATTGTACACTGAATTGTAAAAATAATAGTCAAGATATTTATAATGTTCCAAAAGATTTACATTTCAAATAAATGCTGGTCTTTTAACTTTCTATTCATCAAAGAATCCTGATTTTAAAAAATCCAACAAAACATTAAGCAGCACAACTGTTTTCAACATTGATACTAAAAAGATTTGTATTTTTTTTTTTTTGGTTTGTTTTCTGATTTTTGTTTTTTGAGCACCAAATGAGCATAAAAGAATGATTTCTGAAGGATCATGTGAGAGTGAAGACTGGAGTAATGACTGCTAAAAATTCAACTTTGACATCACAGGAATCATCAAAAAACATTTTAAAATCATACTGACCCCAAACTTTTGATCAGTAGTGTATTCCATACAGGACTAGTTACAGGGATCATATTATTGTTCCCCAAAAATTAGGGAATTTTGCAGTTTATGTGCTCATATGAAGGAGTAGATGCTGAAGGGAGGGTCTCTGCACCTCTTTCCCTCTGACGGGCAGGAGGAGCCTCTGCCTCTCTCAATCACACACACAAAGTGCGAGAGCGGCCCATATAATCACCACTTCACACTCCATTGCACCACGCACACATTTGAAGAAGAACCCGTCTGGTTCACAGGACTAGTTACAGGGATCATATTATTGTTCCCCAAAAATTAGGGAATTATTTTAATTATTAATAATTGAATGATTATTTTTTTAAAAATTCTTATTAAATTATTTTTATTTTTTCCCTAAGAATATTGTAATCTCAAAAACATGCATAATTCGTTTTTTTATTACCCCTTTTTTACCACTGTATAATCAATCTCTCTGAACTGTATAATCAAATGACTCCATTGTACATGCTCCCTTAGCATGTGAAATGAGATACAGGTCCAAATAGACGTCATTAATGCATACATTTTAGCGATCGTGTGCATGTGCTCAAATCTGAAAGTTGCAGAACAATTTGTAATTTCCACAGCATAGTTTCAATAAATGGTCTTATTTTACTTTAGAAGTTTTGACTGAAAGTCACAGTGTTTCTAGCACAAAAAGCTGAAAAATCACAGTGTGCTAATGGATGTTATGTTACCTGGTAGACCGCTAGGGTCCCTCAGCCAGCCTTTAGCCTGACCCATCTTTGACTCGATCAATGCTAGCGCTCTCCTCATGGCCTCTGTGTCCTTCAGAGAGAAAGAGTGTGTTAGTCAGTAATGTCTGTCATATTGGCCCACAGGGCAGGATGTCATAGCATGGAACTGAGTGGTTACAGCTTTTTGTTGCAGTTGCAGTTTATGTGCTCATATGAAGGAGTAGATGCTGAAGGGAGGGGGCTCTGACGGGCAAGAGGAGCCTCTGCCTCTCTCAATCACACACACAAAGTGCGAGAGCGGCCCATATAATCACCACTTCACACTCCATTGCACCACGCACACATTTGAAGAAGAACCCGTCTGGTTCAGTAACTCAGCCGTGCGTATGGCGCTCCTCTCTACTGCAGTCTAAAGCAATAGTCATCTGCACAGGCAATGCATTCATATCAAGAACACAACACTGAAAGACAAATGAAGGGCATGGGTGTGAAATTAGGTTCAGGACAAGTATCAAGGTCATGCCTTCAATATTGATGCCTCAAAATATTAAGGGTTATTGAGGAGATGCGTGCTATAAATTTTCTAAGCAATCAGACTTATAACTTTTGCTAGGTGGCAATTATTAAAGGGGTCATATGATGCTATTTTAAAGATCATTATTTTGTGTATTTGGTGTAACAGAATATGTTGACATGCTTTAATGTTCAAAAAACACATTATTTTTCAAATACTGTACATTATTGTAGGTCCTCTATCACACACACACACACACACGACGCGTTACTCTGCGCTGCGCAAAACTCCGCATTTAAAAAAGTCAATAGCAAATACTTGAACTAATAACAAAACATAATTTAGTCTTTGCAACTTTACAGATCTTCTTTATGCACCAAGAGCTTGTAACACTCCAAAGAGAAAGGAAAACTTGAAATCGCATCACATGACCCCTTTAATACCCTAACAACACCTGAGCATCCATTCATAACACCTTAGCAATTGAAAACATGCATAATGCATTATTTTACAAAGTTTTAAATAAAACAAAGATTACTGGAGTAGGTTAAAAAACTTTTACTTCTTGAATTTTAATTTAATGTGTTACTTGCAAAGTTATTATAGTTAACTAAAACTAAAACCATAACCATTACGTTATGAACTAAAAAAATAAAAATAAAAATAAAAAATAAAACCATAACCCTAATGTTATTTGAAATAAAACGTAAAAAGAAAAAAAGAAAAACGTAATTTTGGCTAGTTGCCAAGGTAACATTTCTCATTTTTTAAATTTCACATTAACTTGATGTACTAAAATAACAACAACAAAAAACTAAAAGAAAAAATTAATAGAAACTATACAGACATATAAACTACTAAAAATGACAAAAACACACAGCAAAGTTACTAAAACTTTAAAATAAAAATGAAAAATATAAAAATTAAAATGATTCAAAATATTAATAAATATTAATAAAACTAAAGGTGTTTTCAGTGTACTTCCGCCATATTTGCATCTTTATATCTTTTGACATGTGGTGGTGTTTTGAGGCCCCACGTGGGGCCCCGCTGGCCCCTGAGGGTCTCAGTCTTACTACTAATATATCATTAAGACATTCTTTTGACTTGGTGCAGCACACATCCTGGCCACAAGTTTTGTGGCAAGCACCACTCAAGATACTGATCTGAAAATCTACAGATCTAGTTTTGCTTTGCTGTCTTTAATTCAGCAAGACAAGACAATAATGGACCTTTAAAAAGACTTAGAATTGTGCTTGTGGCCTTTCCAGCAGGAGACACTCTGGCAGCTGAAGCAGCAGTTTCTGGCAGGAAATTAACCCCTCACACCTGCGCATGCTGTCTATTACACTCCATCTCACCGGTAAAATACTGTATGTTAACATTTCTCTAAAATATGCAGCTAGATTCATCTCAGCCAGCTTTTATAAATCCATATCAAAAAGCCTAAATATAGTTTGTGGTTATCCTGAAGCAGAATTGAAGCACAAGTATAATCGATGAGTCTTCTCTCAGCTAAAACGAATTATGCACCCAATCCATTTCCTCTGCCTGCTTTGCCTGCCTGCTATCCAGTAACTGTTACTTTCAAGCCAACCGTTCAGCATCTAGCAAGACAGATCACATTATTTCTAAGTTGATGAGTCATTTCCTATTTGTGTGCATTATTGGATAGATTCAGCTCAGGGTTGGGTTTCATTCGGGTTTTTATAGTTCTTTTTGCTTCAGATATTATTGCAGAAAAAAACATTCAATGTAGTAAATGCATTTGCATTTATATACACTTCAAATGTTTAGGGTCAGTCAGAAAAATTTTTTTTTTTTACTTTTTTACTTTTAACTTTTACTTAGGAAGGATCCAAAAGTGACTGTAAAGACTTTTACAATTTTACAGACGATTTATATTTCAAATAAATGCTGCTGAACTTTCTATTCATAAAAGAATCCTGAAAAATGTTTCTCAGTTTCCTCACAAACATTAAGCAAGCACAACAGTTTTCAACACTGATAATGATAAGAAATGTTTCTTGAGCACCAAATCAGCATATTAGAATGATATCTGAAGGATCATGTGACACTGAAGACTGGATTAATGGCTGCTGAAAATTCAGCTTTGCCATCACAGAAATGCATTACAATTTATGCTGTATTTTTAAATAAAAATTCACAATATTACTGTACAATATTTACTGTATTTTTGATAAAATAAATGTAGCCTTCATTAACAGAGACTACTTATAAAAACAAAAAAACAACCCCAAACTGACCGTTAGTGTATAGAACAAATTAACATTATATGTGACCCTGGACCACAAAACCAGTCATAAGGGTCAATTTCTCGAAATTGAGATTTATGCATCATCTAAAAGCTGAATAAATAAGCTTTGCATTGGTGTTTGGTTCGTTACGATCGGACCCTAAGACCCTTTGCAACAACACTTGAAATTTAGCTCAAGGGGGTCTGAATACTTTATGAATGCACTATATATATACAATGATTATCTAATCACTTATTTAATTGTTTATTAATAACAACACTTAATATTTCCCATATGTGACCCTGGACCACAAAACCTTAAGTGAAAAGTCTTAAGTGTCAATTTTTCGAAATTGAGATTTATACATCATCTGAAAGCTGAATAAATAAGCTTTCCATTGATGTATGGTTTGTTAGGACAATATTTGACCGAGATACAGCTAGTTGAAAAGCTGGAATCTGAGGGTGCAAAAAAAACATTTATTGAGAAAATCGCCTTTAAAGTTCTTAGCAATGCATATTACTAATCAAAAAGTACGTTTTAATATATTTACAGTAGGAAAATTACAAAATATCTTAATGGAACATGATCTTTACTTAATATCCTAATGATTTTTGGCATAAAAGAAAAATCAATAATTTTGACATGTACAGTGTATTTTTGGCTATTGCTACAAATATACCCCAGCAACTTAAGACTGGTTTTGTGGTCCAGGGTCACATATATTTACATGTAAAATGTATAAAAATGAACCTAATTCTTGCTTTAGAATTTGATGTTGCATTAGTATTTCACATGCTGTGGTATTACAAGCAAAGAGTTCAGAAATAGGCCAGGACGTCTAAACCTGATCAATATTTCATGATGGAGTCAGACGGCCTGTTTGAACAATCTCTGCTTGAATATGCATTCTGCTTATGTGCTTGATCTCATGACGGATATCTCAAGCTGTGGAGAATTACAATATGGAAGTAGACTGTTGCTGAGTTACAATGATGAACTTACTCTTCAAGAATAAGACACTGGAAAGCTGAAACATTATTAAGCTGGCTGACAACATCTGTCTCCCTTTAACTAACAGAGTAAATAATGTCAAGAAAGAATTGGGCCAACTGTACTAAGGTTATTGGCTGACAAAAGCTTCGAAATTGTTATATAGAGAATTTCAAATAAATGCAAAAGTTTATATTACTGAATTAGGAAAGAAGTGAAAGTAATTTTCTGATTACAGTTTTGAGTGAAACAATAAATGAATCTATGCATTGGCTTTTTCTTCCATAATTCATTTCCCGCAAATGGACTTTGTGCTGTGTGTATGAGGGAGCTGAAGAGCAATAACTACGTCAATCCATCTTTCATGTTGTCAGTCATAAGGCACAAGGGAGCCCAGAGTCAGAATTGAGTTTTAATTCAATTTTGCCTTAAGACAAATGCAAGTGGGTCTAATGCTAAATGTATGCTACATTCAAAAGATTGAAAATGTACTGCGTCAGAATGATTAGTAGATTAGCTAACCATTTATCACCAAATGCTCTCTGTATATCTGATATGTATTTTCTTACAAAGGAAATTTAGGCTCAAGCAAAATCAAAGTTTTGATATGCTATACTCCTAAAAAACAGATTAACTCTTAGTACAAGCAAATTAGTACATTTAAAATGTACATTATTTCTTTTCAGGGAGAATGAACAAAAATATTGATTATTCTTCTTGCACTCAGAGGCGTATAAAAAAAATTTGGTCCATTAAAATCCATTTTTGGTCCATAAAAATGGGCCGTTGTCTGATGAAGAGCCACATGGCTTGAAACATAACTTTTTGTGAGAACTTGCTATAAATATTTTTTCTACTTTTGGAGCTATGCTGTGCCAACTTGTTTTCTTCCTAGTTTGTTATTTTTTGTAATTGAGCACCCACACTGCGCAGTGCCTTTGCCTGCTAGATGTGCATACTTTTTTGTTACATTTTTGGTTACCATTAAAATCCTCTCAAAAATGTTACTTTAACATGAAAATCACATTCCTCCAACTAGCAATAGCCAGTGCCTCGTGACTAAACTAGGGCTGCTCTATTATGGCAAAAATCATAATGACGATTATTTTGGTCAATATTGTAATCATGATTATTTAACACGATTATGAGTGGGCCACATGACCAAAATTTTATATGAGTGATTTATTTAAAGATAGCGATATATATCAAATATATATTTTCTGTAAATAAGGTTGCTATGACATGTATTTACATAATCGTTGGAGGCCGAAATCGAAATCAAAACTGTATTTCAATTAATTGCACAGCTCAAGAATAAACCACTTGTAATTGCTAAACTAAAAGGTCAAATATAGGCTATTGGCTATTTTAATAAAAAGAGGTCCAATATATCCCACTGTAATTTCCTATTTTAACAGGAAATACGTAAACACGAAAGCAAACTGCAATCGTCAAGCCACTTCATTGGGTCTTTAAAAGTGGGAATAGCTGTGTATCAGGAGACATTGAGCACTCATAAATTCATGTTAATCAGGTTAACGGAATGTGTACAGATGTTAGTGATTAACTGTGAGACGGAGTGTCTAAATGAGGGATGAAGTGAGACTGAAGTAAATATGGACATGGAGGGTGAGTGATGGCGCAGTGTCATTCTACGACACATCTGAAAACAACCCCTCTAATTGCTATTTATTGTTTTGTTTTGGTCCTGGGTTTCTGCTGTATACAGGGATACAGCATATAAAAATGGCAAGCCAGGCTGAGAAAAAAAAGGCTTCTATCAAACATCATGCGGGAAAAAACAAGAATGAATATACTAACACACACATACTGTTAGCAACACAATGATCTGGCATGCAGTTTGTCGCATTACAGAGCAGGAGAGAGGAGAGCTTACCTTCTATAGGAAAGGAAAAAATGGAAGAACACAGAAAAGAAAGAGCAAAAAGAAAGAGGCATTTTTACAGAGTTATACCAGGGCAAACAGAAAAACAGAGGTGACAGCAAAGTAAATGAAAGCTTAGGAAACTGATTTTCAGAGTAGAGTGATTTCTTATGGAAATATTTAATATGCATGCTCAGCAAGCAGGGTGTCATCAGTCAGCGAGGGATCAAATGATTCAGTAGGCTTCATGAAATATTGAAACGCAGATCATTAATCTTACTGTTAAACACTGATGCCATGTGTACAGTATATGGTGATATTTTTCCACCTATGCTGGTTATCAGGCCTGTGTTTTTATGTCATATAGTCAGTGAATTCTGAGCCTGACTGTGAACAGTGTTGGGAAATGGAACAGATTATTACATTAGCAGGAAGGGAATGTCACATTCATTCAGGGAGAAAAACAAAGATACACCAAGGGGTCTCAATAGAGCGCAGCAGTGACTGCCCACTTTTGAAGCGGCCATGTATTATTTCTGTCAATTTTTTATATGCATATAAAAACGATGCATTAAGAGCCTGGAGGCGAAAACTTTTTGATTTTTGATTTGAAGATCAGGGTAAATTTATTAAACGTATTTTGTCTTCGGGGAAACATGTAAGTATCTTCTGTAGCTTCTGAAGGGCAGTACTAAATGAAAAAAAAAATTATATTTAGGTAAAATAAGGAAAATGTACACATCTTCATTCAATTCAAAAGTTTACACCCCAGGCTCTTAATGCATCGTTTTTCCTTCTGGAGCATAGAGTAGATGGCTGGGATAATTGATAAGAAAGATAAACTGAATCAAGACCACACATGAACAGTCAAGGGACAATGCCATAAACTAGCTTGCAAACAAGCCAAAAAACTAAAACAAAAAAGCCCAGGCAGTCTGTGGCTAAGCAATAACCCCCCATTAGAATGAATCACGCGAGTAAGCAATGAAAGTGCACATGAATGACTGAGCATCAGAGCATTGGATCAGAGGTGTCATAACACAGTGAGTCATCAGCACGAATGTGACTGAACATGCAGAATCACAACACGATCCGTTATGACATGGTGGTACATGTCCAGATGAGGACAATCGAAGATTTGCTAGAAAGAGGGCAAAATCTGACAGGGCAGACGTACAGTCTTTAGCTGCATTATCAGATATTTCATGCCTCAACAGCTTGCTTTTTGGATTTGCATTCCTCTTGAAATATATCTTTAATGAACAAGTTTTTCTTCTGGGGCCAGTGAACTGTTTGACCTTCTGTAATAGTTGCGTATGAGTCCATCAGTTGTCCTCAGTGTGAAAAGATGGATCTCAAAATCATACAGTCATTGTTGGAAAGGGTGCAAATATGCAAAATATGCTGGAAACCAAAGAATTTGTGGGACCTGATGGATTTTTCTGAAGAACAGTGGGCAGTTTAACTGTTCAGGACAAACAAGGGACTCGTGAACAACTATCACAAAACAAAACGAAAAACAGCTGTGGGTCATCCAGATAACAACACAGTATTAGGAATCAAGCGTATATGTAAACTTTTTAACGGGGTCATTTTTATAAATTCAACTATTATTTTCTCTTCTAGACTATTTGTAAACGTATTTTATGTGAAATATTTATTTTATTTATTTATTTATTTATTACAGGGACAATGCATATTAATAAACATTTCTGTTAATATGCCAGAATTAGCCAGAAGGCTATTTTTCACCTGCAGTCCCTAGACAGATGGTAATAGTCACCCTAAAAGAGAGTAAAATTACATATTAACATAACAATAAAACAATTACAATACATTTAGTAAAAAGTACTATTAAGCTATGATGTACAATAGAAACGCAACAGACCAACAATCAGACAACCATCAGACAAATGCATGAACACATACACACACACAAAGCAAAAAAACCAACACGGGGCAGCGAGAGCAGATATATATATATATATATATATATATATATACACACACAAATAGTTTGCCACTAGGGAGACTGACTCTGCTACATCATTTGCAATGCTTTCGAAGTAGGTGATCAACGCTGAGATATTTTGCCACCATTACTATTTCCACAATATCCAGTAGCCCCTCACTGCAGAACACAAGATCCAGGGGGCGTGGTTGGATCCACATCTAGGGGGTGGAGATTGGTAGGTTTAGGGGTGGAGATGGGTAGGTTTAGGTGTATGTAAGGTGGGAGGAGTTGGATCTGAATCCAATCACGCCCCCTGGATCTTGTGTTCTGCAGTAAGGACCATCTCACAATATCAGTGACTTTACAGATTTTCTTTTGTTTTTTTGTTTTTTTATTAAAATGTAAAAATCACACCGGAAGATTGACACATTATCCCTAAAAGTTAATTTCTCTATGGACGAAATGTATGAGATTTTGACTTCTCTCCACCACTGCCACTGTCACGTCTTTTGTAAACACAGTACAATAACAGTAATTGTTCAACATTATTTATTTGTAACTTGCCCAGGGACTGCAGGACATTAGTTGTCTAACCCAGGGAAGCCAACATAGCTTAGTGTAACTGTTTAAGGTGGGGTTTTAGAAAGGAGTCTATGTATGTATGTATGTACATAATAAAGCTCATACTTTGTTGGCCCAGGCATCCTCGTCCCATGAAGTGAGTTGCAGCACTCTGATTATCTCGTTGATCTCAGCGCTCATCTTCTCAAACGTGTAGTTTCTGTTCTTCAAGGCCTCCTCCACACCATGACTCTTGGTGCACTTGGTTGTCACAAAGATTTTAATGGCTTATGGGTATCAAAAAACAATTTTGTTAGTCCTCCCTTTCATGGGCTATCTAAAACCGTTGTACAGATAAAGATGAGAGTGTGGTTTATATCTGATGTGTCCAAAAATCAAGCAACTAATTATAACCATATGAGTAGACAAATTTGCAAACATCGACATTAAAAGCCTTTCTGCGTGTGCAGATGAGCTGCCATCAACCTGGCTATTTATTGCTGAGCCAACAGCAGAAAGCCAACTGGATGAAGGAAAAAATCTATCCCTCCCCGCAAGACGGTTAAATGGCTCCAATTATCAGTGTTGCCATATCAACGAGCTGGCACACAAAGACCACACACGGCACGCACACACACACACACACACACACACACAGCAGTTCGCTGTCTCTCACCTGATATAAGCACAGGCAGCAGTTCCTTCACTGTGTTCATGGAGGTTACCAGCATCACACGGTGCTCCTGGTGTGTCAGCTCCTGTTGCCTCTCGTCAATCATCTTTGCCATTTTTGTCATGCCTAACAAATTCATACATCAATACAGTGATGATGTAGAGGTCAAAAATAGATGTTCATTTTGTGATTTGCCAAAGATTACATTTAACAGTGTAATTATATTAGATTTTTAAAGATTAACTTTAAGTGAGCATGATGACAACAAGGGTAATCTATGTAAAAATAAGCATGAACAATTAAACATCCAAGTCGATACATGTATATCCGGTATCAAAATCTAAAAATATACAGTGTTCAAATGTTTGGGGTCAGTAAGATTTTTAAATGTCTTTGAAAAACGTCTCTTATGCTCACTTAGGCTGCATTTATTTGATTAAAAAAACACAATCATATTGTGAAATATTATTACAACTTAAAATAACTGTTTTACATTTTATTATATTTTAAAATGTAATTCATTCCTGTGATGGCAAAGCTGAATTTTCAGCAGCCATTTCTTATTATTATCATCAATCAGTGTTGAAGACAGTTGTGCTGCTGATAGGATTAGTTCACTCCAGAATTTAAATTTCTTGATAATTTACTCACTCCCATATCATCCAATATGTTTGTCTTTCTTTCTTCACTCCAAAAGAAATTAAGGTTTTTGAGGAAAACATTCCAGGATTTTTCTCCATATAGTGGACTTCAATGGGGATCAACGGGCTGAAGGTCCAAATTGCAGTTTTAATGCAGCTTCAAAGGGCTCCACACGATCCCAGCCGAGGAATAAGGGTCTTATCCAGCGAAACGATCAGTCATTTTTCAACGTGATTACGTAATGCGTGAAGTCGTAGACGCGCATCACAGAGCTATAGTGTAAGATGAGCATTTGTGCTTAAAAAGTATATAAATTTTTTTTTTTTAGAAAATGACAGATCGTTTCACTGGATAAGACCCTTATTCCTCGGCTGGGATCGTGTGGAGCCCTTTGAAGCTGCATTGAAACTGCAATTTGGACCTTCAGCCCGCTGATCCCCATTGAAGTCCAGTATATGGAGAAAAATCCTGGAATGTTTTCCTCCAAATCCTTAATTTCTTTTTGACTGAAGAAAGAAAGACAAACATTTTGGATGAAATATGGGTGAGTAAATTATCAGGAAATTTTAATTTAAGTGAGGAAAATAGCCTGATCAAGGCTACTAGCAACTGAAAATGCCTCACTTAAATAGAAATTCTTCCTTCAAAAACAACATACCACCTAATAAAAACAGTTGAAGAGGAGATATATAACAAATAAACAGTTTTTCATGGTCATACCATCATTCAAAGAGAGTAATCTTTAAAAAAACAAAAAAAGTAACAAAAGCATCTGAAAATAATAATTCAACCATAATAACAACGGATTCCATTCATGCAAAAAGTCTCTGCCAACTGTCCACTTGCATGAGCCAGATGTCAACAGTGTCAACTTTAAATTCAAATCAGAAAGAAATGAAACCTCTTCAAAAGGAAGTAACAGAGAAATAAAAACATTTATCAAATGTACCTGGTCCGAGGTTTTTAGTATAAGTGATCAAGTCCTCCATGGTTTCCACAACCTCTGCAACGGTCAGGTACTCCAGGATGCCTTTACACACCCGGATAATTTTACGCACCTTAAAAAGACACAAAAATATGAATTTTATCAGTATTTCCAGGGAATGAAACCTTTACATTGCTAGTGCCATGCTCTACCATTTGGGCTACAGGGATCCCAGTGGACTAATGTTTTATTCTGCAGGTCTCTGCCACAAACAGACAGACCCTCAAGATATAGTACCATAACATCATGCTTACTCAGTGCCCTGTGAACAACACAGCTCCGTGAGAAAGATGATAGCAGCACTATTAAAGGGGTCATATGATGCGATTTCATATAAGTCATTATAATCCGTAATTATGTCCCCACTGGATGCAACAAATACCTCGTTTATGATGGGTTTTATTGGTTTTGTCTCATAGTGCCGGGACATGGCATCACAGTATGGTAGCACACCTTGCTTTTCAGACCGATGAGCTTTGTAAAATCGACGCATTTCAGAAAGGCGGGGCATAAAGGAGAAACAATAATGTACAGTATGTGGAAAATAATGTGTTTTTTGAACCTTAAACCACATAAACATTTCATTACACCAAATACACAAAATAATGTTCTTTTTAGCAACGTCATATGACCCCTTTAATAGAGCTCGGAGTTAGCATTCAGCACAAACCGATTATCTAATATCTTGCCGGTAGATGAACATACACACCACACAATCTGTGCTCTCTTGGAAATTTTTCTTTTTATTATACATGATAGAATAGGGTTTTTTATTATTATTGCATAATAGTATAGCAGTCATTGGCACTAAATCTGCATATGTTCTCACTCGTTAAAAGGAGCATTTTTGGTTTTTAATACATATTTTACAAGCCCATTTACACTGTGTTGCTGGGTTCATATCTGGTCTTGTGATGAGAAATCTTGTGACCCGCAGAAGCAGAAACTTCAAAAGTAACTCCCGCTAATAGAAGACACACTGTGTGCAAGGTGGCTCACTCAGATCATGTGCTCACAGAATATGTGGAGCACGGCACATTAAAACCACAAGTTACAATGCATGATAAGGCACCATGTGTTTAATATCGTTAGGCCAGAAGAAAAGCTTTTTTTGTAAAGATCCAAAGAATTCAAAGAAACTGATTATTATTCAGCAGAAAGACAGAAATATTTTACAAATCCAATTTGTTTTATTAAATTTCAGACTATATGAGTATTTTACACAGGATCTTTCAAGTGTCTAATGAGGTTCAAAAAGAAAGCCCACATGCAATATTCACATCCAACTGTCAAATAATCAACAGTACATAAATCACTCTTCACAAGGAAATTGCTTGGTTAAGGTAACAATCTTGCTTTCAGTCAAAACCCTCTTTCAAAATTTAATATGACATTTCCCAGAGAAGAAGGTGTGATATCTAATATCATCAATGTACACTAAAAAAAAATGTTAGGTTTGTCAGTTTCACAAAGCAGGGCTTTGGAGGAGAATATATTGTGTCACTGTCGACTGCCAGTTTCACATTAAAAGCAAAGTATCTGAAAAATTGCCAAATTTGAAATAAAAAAAGATTACTGTGCACTTTACAATCACACATTGCCATCCAAACAGCACTAAATTTTAAAGTGAATATAAAAATGCCATGAAATGGTCGAGAGTAAAAAGAGGAATACCAAAGACTAATATTTAAAACACTTCACTTTTAATATTTATTTAAAACATTATGTCTTTCTATCACTGTGATCTATTTGTTCACAAAGCCAAGAACATAATATGTTTTATTGTATGATTCCGAGTTTAATGTCAGTAAATGACTTCTGCAGGTGTACAATACTATTCAAAGGTTTGGGGACAGTATGTTTTTTCAAAGAAATCCCTTATGCTCAACAAGGCTGCATTTATTTGATCAAAAATACAGTAAAAATAGTCAGTTTGTGAAATATTTTTACAATTTAAAATAACTGTTTTCTATTTTAATAAAATAATTTTTTCTGCAATGCAAAGCTGAATTTTCAGCAGCCATTACTTCAATTTTCAGTGTCACATGACTCTTCAGGCATCATTCTAATATGCTGATTTGCTGCTCAATAAACATTTTTTTATTATTATTAATGTTGAAAACAGTTGTGGTGATTAATATTTTGGATGAGACCATAATACATTTTTTCGTGATTCTTAGATGAATAGAAACAATGGAATAGCTTTTATTTGAAACAGCAATCTTTTGTAACATATACATTTAAATATCTTTACTGTCACTTTTGGCCAATTCAGTGCATCCTCGCTGAATACTGAGTTTCTTTTGAATGTGTATTAGGCATAGGCTACACTGTGAGTGACATGAACAAAACAAATCATTAATCTCAATTATTTTTATTAAAACATTAATCATCATCCTTGACTAGGGTTGCAAAAAGGTGGAACATTTCCAGTAAATTTCGGAAATATTCCAAAAATTTTGGAAACTTTCCAGGATTTTTTTTGGAATATTCCAGGGATTTTTGGAAAGTTTCAGGAAATTTTCCACCCCTTTGCAACCCTATCCTTGACTTCATCATCAAGATAACCCCCATTCCCATTCATACCTCTGCCTCATCAAAGGTCAGAAGCAGGTCGGAAGTGCCTGACAAGATGCCCCGCGAGCCATCGATGAGGTAATCACGGGCCGGGACAGAGTAGGGGTCTGTCCTCAGCATATGAGCTGCTTCCACCAGCTTTGCACAGGCATTCTCCACCCTGAGAAACAAACAAGAAAAAAACATCATGACTGAGTAACTACTTAGCCTTTTATACTAGCTTCAAAAAAATAAAATATGAATATCCTAGTATATACATATATTAGATATATATATAGATATAGATAAGTCATACTGTATGAATCTATACAAATCTGCGATGGCTTGCACTATTAAAAATGCACAATACTAAATAAATGCAATATTCAGTGCAAAAAGAAAAACTATGCATTTGACTCAAATAGGAGATGACATTGCAATTAAATCAATGGCCCACTAAATCACAAATCAAGATTATTTAAACACTCAATTCCCAGAAATGAGAGCAGTAAATAACTCCAAAGATTTCCAGCAAGCAGTGTAAAATCTTCTCTCAGACTGGATAACACCATATTAATAGAAATTAAAGCATGTCCCAGTCACCCCACGGCCCATGGGGAGAGCGGGATGATGACATGTTCCGGGGGAGACCTCTCTTAGAGACCCAGACTTACGCAGGCACCTCCCTGTATGAGGCACTACCCGGGTGTCAGTGCTTACAACACAGCCTGTATATAGAGAGGTTCACATTTCCTGTCACCAACCACATGTGTGCTGATTGATGAGCCCTGTGCCAGCTTGTGTTTATGGTGCCAAATGTGTCAGCTAAGACTTTTGCTGTCTTTAACTGAGCCCATCTGCCCAGCCAGGCCATTTAAAATAGAACACACAAAATAATGTTCTTTTTAGCAACATCATATGACCCCTTTAATACAGATACACACATTTTATCATCCACCAAGCATGATCAAGTCTAATCACTTTGAAAGGTAACAGCACACCTCTCCTTGATATGCAGCACAATTTGAGTTATCATTCATGCCTGTAGGACAAATTATGCAAATGCAAGCTAAAACCTTATTATAATTAACTATGAGCAATAAAAATAGTGAATCTTGTCTTAGCATACACTATTAATAACTGTAAACATTTCTTCTAAATTTAACCTCCATCTGTTTCTCCAACTAAATTTGGACTTGCTTAGTATGAATGACCATATCACAGTTTGTTATTCCGGTTTGTCATTTATTTCGCATTTGTACAATCTTCTGAAAAATTATTCCCCTCTGGAGCCTGATTAGTGAGCCAGGAGAAGCCGTGCAGGGTCCATATGGACCTGTCAACTCCACTGCTGCTCTGAGGATGCTTCATAAGCCACTACATGTGCATGAGGTCTTACAAATCTATATCCTCCTGAGACCCAGCTATGGAGTTTTTGTCTCTGTAGTGGACATTATATTTTAGTGAATTTCTCTGAGACCTCACATGTC